TACGTATATTTTATTATTAAAAATTGACGGTCATTATGCTGTTAACCAATATGTAATATTGCATCAGAATAGAAGAAAACAATTATGGGTGCTGCTGCCATGATGACCATTATGGGAAAACCATGTTACTTATGATTGCCAAATGTTCAAAAAAGAAATGCAGGACTAAAATGCAGCCTGGGTTGGAAAAGTAGTCTAATTGGCTTCTTTTTCTGGAAGTTATACATTTTCAAAGTGTGAACTTGAACTCCCATGGGCCTGAAGCCTTATGCTTGTTACAAGTTTTACTTACATTGGTATTACCTGTTGAGCATAATTAAAATTTGATGTTGAATTTGCAGTTTAACATAATGTACTTTTGCATCAGAATTGACAGTAGCCTATTTTGTGCATAGTTATTTCCTGCTTTTTGTCTGTACATTTGACAGCTTTGCTGCCTTGTTCTTATATTGTGTTTACAGTGTTGCATATATGCTGAAAAAAAGGAAAAAACAGCATAACTACTAAAATAGTGGCCCAATCATGATGATTTTCGAACTTGACCTGCGTTTTATGAATATTCATCAGCTCTGCAAATATAAAACCAAAAAATAAAACTGTGTTCCACTTATCGTGTTTACAGTGAAAGTTGCACGGCGACGGTATCGCCATCGGCATCGGCATCGGCATCGGCGACGACAGCAACGACAGACGCAGGTGATGGCAATATGTACAGACACATCTGTGTCTGTACATAAAAAATCTTGACTGTCCCTAGCACTGGTTTATATCTTTGTTTATATCTTTAGGATTATCACTAACAGCGAAGTTGCATTTTACAAGATCTCATTTGATATCCATTGCTTACATTTTAGAAATACTAATCACAAAATTAATTTCCTCTCGACTATCTCCACCTGTGTCAGACTGTGTTAGTTATCATGTTTTATTACCTGGAAATATATCCCAGTCTTCTACCTGTGGAAAGGTTACATCTACTCTGTGTGGTATTGATTCAGCTTCAACTGACCGTTCTTGCAGGAGCTGACCAAGACTAGGGATGAGGTTGACCAGAAAATATGCATAGCTGAAATAAAAATATTACTCTTAATGTGCACTATCTTTACTATTAACACTGCACAGCACTTGTTCCATCAATAATTCTGACAATTTTTAAACTGATTGAATTCCTCAGAGGTCAGAGGTCAGAGTGGCTTATTTACCACTGCATGTCCCAATACAGGTGTGTGAGAGGAGGATAGACCATTACAGGATTAAGGAGTGTTCCTTTCATGTAAGGTCCACCATATTTGAGCCTTGAACCATTTGATACTGAGATCTTTCATTCTAAATGGCCCCACAGTTTGACTTACCACCTCGGTACTTCATCTGGAACAGCAAATCCATGCCACAACACATTTCTAAGATTCAAGGAGACAGGGGGACCAATCAGGATCCTTAACAGTTTTATCTGCAAGATATGTAAATATTGAAAAATATTTGCAATGAGCAAAAATGTTCATTGGCTTGTTAGTTGGACAATAAATGAAAATTATCAAACACAAGCTACGTTGGCCGTAAGCTAACAGTATGAAAGTATTTCAGCTTGTGTTTGATAATTTTCATTTATAATATTTGCAATGTTCAGAGGATGTTTATCGTAATTATAAATCACTTGGTTTTACATTACATATAAATAATTTGAAAACTTAATTGATGTTAACCGACTTGTTTCATGCTCACTGCTGGGACTAAATGCTGATATGTTTGGCAACTATTTTGCCAGACTTAAATTGTTTCCATTTTAATTTCCTAGAAGGAAAATCTGATCCCTTCTTACAGCTGTTCTTCCAAGGAGATTTTTAAGTTCTTCTGAAACAAGCAAGTCCTTCAGCATTGATGGGCACTGCTTTCCTTTCAGCAAGAATATCTGCAAACAGAGACAAGAATTGTATGAAGAGTCACAGAATGCTGAAACAATAAATAAAAACACATCAGAAAATCTGTGTAGTTTAAAGGTTTTACTTACATCCCCCAAGGCTCTTTCTAAGGCAGATGTCGTCATGAGAAGAGATACGGCTGCTGAGGTTGATGTTCTGCTTTGTAAAACCTCAAAACTCCTCAGAAACACCTGCAACAAGAGCAGAAGTAGATATAAATTAGTTGTAAGGATATGCATGTTGATGTATACTGTGCAAACCTAATTACACATTTTATAACTGTAGTATTCAGGCTGAATACCATAGCTTTAAACTATCACAAAGAAATACATGTGTCTAAAAAAAAGCCCTAAATATTTGTTTCTTTATCATTTACAATGACCATCTTTAGCTAGCATACCTTTTTGTAGGAAGACTTCTGAATGATTTATTAAAAAAATCACTGCTAAAACTCTCAATCAGTTAATAAATAGTTTACTTGGCCAAAGATCTTACTACATAATATATACACCTGCGGACATCCTGTCCAGGTAAGGTTATTTCCCGCCCTCTCCCTCCACTGCCCCTCTGTCCAGCTGGTCAGTTCTTCCTCCACTCTCCTAAATACTCCAGCCAAACACTGCACACAGCTTGTGAAGTAGTCTGGAGAATCAGCCCCATCTGGAAGTTTGAAAAGAACAAAAGTTGACACTGTTATAACTAAAGCATTCAGTAATGATAATAGTTCCTGTGCTTGTTACTGACACCATATTCAAAAACACATATTGTTATCAAATGAATGATTAAAAAACTATATATACAATGACAAAATGCCAATTTGAAATTAGAAATTAATTTAAAGAACATTCAAAAGGCAAATGCATGCATTTTAAGTTCAGTTTCAAACTCAATACAATGATTAAACAAGGCAGCAAAGCTGTCAAATGTACAGACANTTTCGTATGTAATATCCTTTTTGTGTGTGTTTTATTGATAAGTGATCATTTTAAATGTTGTAGGCCCATCACAGGTTTTAGTCTCTAATAACCCTTAGCAGGGTGGGTTCGATTTTTTTTTTTAACGTGAGACGTTAATAAATTTTTTATTATTATGTATTCAGTCCCGTATACGTATTACTGATTTGTACAAACGGGTCTCATATTATCAAGATCAACAGAGACATACAGTACGAAGAAGAAAGTACATCGGCTCTTGTTGAACGCGTTATCGGCGAAATAAAAAGTTATTTATTTCTGAACTCAATGACAAGAGAATTGGAAAATACAAAAAATGCAGAAAAGCCTTTCTGTAAGCTACACTTACATAATACATGTATGGTAAAGACAAAATGGATAATAAACATAATCCAACAACGTATTTGTAAAGTAATACAAATATGCTTGGTATTAAAGTACATGTAGGTCTACGTATATTTAACTGTCTTAGATAGTTGAAAAGTATGAAATGTGTGGGAAACACTTTATTTGAATGATTTAATTGTCTGTGATTGAAAACGATGAAAATACGCATGAAAACATTTAAAAATCAAATTATTTGGCCTCTTGCTATAATTTTGTTTTTGTATCAGTTTGACAAAATTTTCATACTTGTCAGACCGAAAGGCTGACATTTTTTACCTGTCGTAAATTTTGTACATATACTAGAGTACGTAAGACACGGTAAACTTTAATTATCGTCTGGGAAAGAGTCGAGAATTCCTGTATCACCTATTTAACACTTAAAAGGTTTTAATTACAGAGGAAAGGTCGTAGTTGTGGCCGCCCGCCTTACCGAACAATTGAACAAGTAACACCTGATGCCTTATCAGGTACCAAACGATTTAATCAGTTCACCGACGAACGATCTACGTGTCAGTTTTACCTGTATACACAGTAGCAACGAGTCAAACAATGCAGGAAATCTTTCATTTTATCACTTTAAAAATCTCTTAAGATACCCTTTAAACAAGACATAAAAATCGTAATGAATTGACACTGCCGGTACATGAGGCGATATCGCCACAGCTTGCATATACCTATACATGTACAAAATTGTGAAGACGTAGGCCTGCGCACCTGTCCACACTCTTGAAAGCTGTGTACGAGTCTACTGGCTATTTTGATTTTATATATAAAAAATAACGAGTCTCTTTCGCATATCTTTATTATCGGAAGCATTTAAAAGAACTCCGAAGCTTAAGTTCGTAATCACTATTGAAAGTGCAGCCAAGGCTCGGACGCTTAGGTGAAGTCTAGTTGTAAAGCGCATCGTATTTAAACTGAGAAAGAAAATATTTAATTGCTTGATTCTCCGTCCAAATAGCCGTTTCTTGCCTACAGTTTACGCATTTCTGTGCTTCAGCCACCTTTATAGTTTGACAGAAAGCAATGCACGCTTCATACAACCTTTTTATATGCGCACCTTGTACATCATCTACACCTAGCATTGCCATGCTGGAAACAGCGGAGGACCACTATGACCCCTGTGGCGCGCGGTTCCTGTCATGCGCACTTCGTATTTCCGCAAAAGATGAAAAAGGTTAATTGCCTCTTTCTGCTACACAATTGCATGTGAGACATCTTACCTTTGAGAATTAAATGACTCCAGGATATCTGCCCAATATGGCAACATTGGTGTTGGCACAAATTCTGATGTATTGAACAGATCTTCCAAAACAGCACAATCTTTTATGGTTATATCTAATAAAAAGATGAATAAAATATAATGGTAAAAAAATCTTGACTGTCCCTAGCACTGGTTTATATCTTTGTTTATATCTTTAGGATTTTCACTAACAGCAAAGTTGCATTTTACAAGATCTCATTTGATATCCATTGCTTACATTTTAGAAATACTAATCACAAAATTAATTTCCTCTCGACTATCTCCACCTGTGTCAGACTGTGTTAGTTATCATGTTTTATTACCTGGAAATATATCCCAGTCTTCTACCTGTGGAAAGGTTACATCTACTCTGTGTGGTATTGATTCAGCTTCAACTGACCGCTCCTGCAGGAGCTGACCAAGATTAGGGATGAGGTTGACCAGAAAATATGCATAGCTGAAATAAAAATATTACTCTTAATGTGCACTATCTTTACTATTAACACTGCACAGCACTTGTTCCATCAATAATTCTGACAATTTTTAAACTGATTGAATTCCTCAGAGGTCAGAGGTCAGAGTGGCTTATTTACCACTGCATGTCCCAATACAGGTATGTGAGAGGAGGATAGACCATTACGGGATTAAGCAGTCTTCCTTTCATGTAAGGTCCACCATATTTGAGCCTTGAACCATTTGATACTGAGATCTTTCATTCTAAATGGCCCCACAGTTTGACTTACCACCTCGGTACTTCATCTGGAACAGCAAATCCATGCCACAACACATTTCTAAGATTCAAGGAGACAGGGGGACCAATCAGGATCCTTAACAGTTTTATCTGCAAGATACGTAAATATTGAAAAATATTTGCAATGAGCAAAAATGTTCATTGGCTTGTTAGTTGGACAATAAATGAAAATTATCAAACACAAGCTAGGTTGGCCGTAAGCTAACAGTATGAAAGTATTTCAGCTTGTGTTTGATAATTTTCATTTATAATATTTGCAATGTTCAGAGGATGTTTATCGTAATTATAAATCACTTGGTTTTACATTACATATAAATAATTTGAAAACTTAATTGATGTTAACCGACTTCTTTCATGCTCACTGCTGGGACTAAATGCTGATATGTTTGGCAACTATTTTGCCAGACTTAAATTGTTTCCATTTTAATTTCCTAGAAGGAAAACCTGATCCCTTCTTACAGCTGTTCCTCCAAGGAGATTTTTAAGTTCTTCTGAAACAAGCAATTCCTTCAGCATTGATGGGCACTGCTTTCCTTTCAGCAAGAATATCTGCAAACAGAGACAAGAATTGTATGAAGAGTCACAGAATGCTGAAACAATAAATAAAAACACATCAGAAAATCTGTGTAGTTTAAAGGTTTTACTTACATCCCCCAAGGCTCTTTCTAAGGCAGATGTCGTCATGAGAAGAGATACGGCTGCTGAGGTTGATGTTCTGCTTTGTAAAACCTCAAAACTCCTCAGAAACACCTGCAACAAGAGCAGAAGTAGATATAAATTAGTTGTAAGGATATGCATGTTGAAGTTTACAGTGCAAACCTAAATACACATTTTATAACTGTAGTATTCAGGCTGAATACCATAGCTTTAAACTATCACAAAGAAATACATGTGTCTAAAAAAAAGCCCTAAATATTTGTTTCTTTATCATTTACAATGACCATCTTTAAATAGCTAGCATACCTTTTTGTAGGAAGACTTCTGAATGATTTATTTAAAAAATCACTACTAAAACTCTCAATCAGTTAATAAATAGTTTACTTGGCCAAAGATCTTACTACATAATATATACACCTGCGGACATCCTGTCCAGGTAAGGTTATTTCCCACCCTCTCCCTCCAGTGCCCCTCTGTCCAGCTGGTCAGTTCTTCCTCCACTCTCCTAAATACTCCAGCCAAACACTGCACACAGCTTGTGAAGTAGTCTGGAGAATCAGCCCCATCTGGAAGTTTGAAAAGAACAAAAGTTGACACTGTTATAACTAAAGCATTCAGTAATGATAATAGTTCCTGTGCTTGTTACTGACACCATATTCAAAAACACATATTGTTATCAAATGAATGATTAAAAAACTATAAATACAATGACAAAATGCCAATTTGAAATTAGAAATTAATTTAAAGGACATTCAAAAGGCAAATGCATGCATTTTAAGTTCAGTTTCAAACTCAATACAATGATTAAAAAATGATAATCACATTTAAAGATGCATATAACATTTCCCAGTAAAAACTCATACTTGACGAATTGTCTTGGGGTAAATGGTGTTTAAAATAATTATACTGGGTACCTGGTAGATGGTTTTCTATGGACATCCAGCAGAGGAGACCATTCTGCAGCAGCAAGCTTGGAGTGTCCTCTCTGCTGTCTGTGTTATCACCACAGGACAATATATGGCGTACATGTGGTGACAGAAAACTGGTGACACTATCCGCCATCTCTTATGGTTACAAACATGGGAAAGGTTTGGTAGAATAAAAAGCCTGAAAAAATGCAAGACTGTGGAATATGTTTGTTAACTGCTTACAAATGGCTAAAAAAATAATGTAAATAAATAAATAATGATAAAATAAAAAATAGATAAAATAAATAAATAAATAATAAAACACTCAATGCCTTTCACTACTTTTCTAGAGGGATAAGGTGCATTTCAGTTAGTGTGCTCTTTCCAATTCCCCACCCCTCTCTCCCTCTAGCTTCCCCATTCATCCCCTCCCCCCCCCCGTTACCCCCTCCCCCTTGTTTACAAAATCTTTACTGTATCTTTTACAGAAGCAGTGGGCTTGTTTAATTATCTAAGCAATTGCTCATACAATTAGAACAAACTAAAACAACAACATGCACTTTACAACTAAGATATTTGATATCACCAAACTTACGGAAGCTTTCAACATTCTGTGTGCTAGTCTGTTGATGTTGTGATTCCCGTGTATCGGTGTAGAGTAATTGCCGTTTTCACGCACTCACCAACTTCCTGTGTAAGCAGCCGCGAATTTCCGATCTATAACCAGGCAGCTGTGGGTGCTTGAATATGCGGGGAACAAAAATATTACTACAGACTGCGATCTGTCGCCATTCCCGTATACTACCCAAGGTGCACTTGACTCGTTTAACAACGCTGACCGTCGTTTTATGACTGTTTCACATGTCACGTCAACGTGAGATAAACACAATCCACGCACAATGAATATCTACAAAATGAGGCCACAACACAAACAGCGTGTTATCGCGGTTGTCCTAGTTTTGTTTATAGGTTTGACATACTGGTGCTGGCCGGGGAGAAGGAGAACCATGGGGGAAAGGACTGGACTGGAAACCAAGTACAAGAAGTTCTATCTAGATGGAAAACCACTCCGTATTTTGAGTGGTGCAGTTCACTATTTCAGAGTTGTTCCTGAGTACTGGGCAGACCGGCTGATGAAGCTGAAAAGCTGCGGGTTGAACACTGTAGAAACGTAAGAAATGCAGGACATGCAAAGACTGAAGTGTTGGTTGTGTTTGTGTGGACTTACATGTTGTACATCTAGCAGTGCTTATTGCAAAGGATTTAACTTGCATTTGCAATTATAATTACATGTAATGTAAATTCTGAATAAGTAGTCACGTCAAGAGATGGACTAAAAGAGTCAGTATTACCAGTCATGTTGCTATGGTTTAAGTTAGTATGCACTCAGCAGCCAGTATTATTTCAATAGGATGCAGGCTACTTTAACGTCCACATCATGCAACTTAATTACTTCTTTTAATACAGAATATAGAACAGCACTGGGATGGATAGTAGATAAATTAATATTGTTTTCCATAGTTGGTAATTGTAGCCAATAGTCTGCCAGTGACATGGTGATGAGATGGTGGATATATGTTATTCTGTCACAACCTAACTGAAAATGCAACCTGATACATGACTGGGAATTGGCACCATGTTGTCGATGTGGTTTCCAGTTCTCATTCCTACCACTGATCTAGCTTTATAATTTGATAAATTATTAAAAGAACACTTTTTCAGAAGAATTGTCAACAACAAAGTTGCCAAAAGCAGTTTTACAATTTTGGTATAAAGAAAGGAATAATTCACATTAAAGCCATAGAAATGTTATATTCTACTAGTAAATTCAGCATAGTGTTATGACGTGCACTGGTTGATCCTAATGGCACTGTAAGATTAAATGTTGACACAGGTTTAAGATAATCAGTTTACCTTAATCCATCCTATTAAAAGGCTGGATTGTCTCAGCTTTCATTTATATTTGATTATTATCTTATGTTTTTGCATCCATTATAGTTTGTCTTGTCATTTGAAAAATTAAATAGAAATTTATATTAAGGAATGAGAGTAAAGAAATCAATCAATGTGATCCTTCCCCTTTGTTATTTGTATTGAAGCTTATATAATGTGATTGTCCCTGATTAAAAAAATATTTATATAATTTTCTTTCCATAATTTCAATGAAGGTATGTTCCATGGAATTTGCATGAAGAAATCAAAGGAAATTACAAGTTTGATGGCATGTTGGATCTAAGGCAAGATATAACTGACTTAAAAGGAAGGGTAAAGTTGTATATCAATGTAAAAAAAAAACGAACTATCAGATGTTGGGAAAATATCCATAATGTCATTACAAAATTTGCAAAATAGTCATACTTGACAATACCAAAATGAACATATATTTATATCCCTATTTTTGAATTTTATTCATAAACTTACAAAAATGTCGTAGTGTAAAATGTAGTCGAGTTGTGTATACTAAAATGTTTTAATGACATTAACATTTGTAATTTTAAAAATTGGAAATATACTGTAACATGATTAGTGTAAAACAACATTTTGACATGCTTTAAAATTAATCATTTTAGGAAATATATTTTGTTGGCCAAAAAATTGGGCCTCTACGTTATCTTTAGACCAGGGCCATTCATTTGCTCTGAGTGGGATTTTGGAGGATTGCCTAGGTGAGAATGATTAGGATGGGTGTCTTACAAAATATATGTTTTTGACTATTTCATACTATTCATGACTATGTGAAAAATTAATGAAGTAAAAACTCAAAACTGTTGTCATCATTTTAAGCAAATGATAAAATGAGTAGAATAAAAGTCATTAACCTTTTAAGGATTGAATGATTACATTCTCGCCAAAAAACCCTTTGTTTCAGTTGGTTATTACACGATCCACACATGCGAGTGCGATCCACATATCAACCCTTCATGGATGCTGTTGATAGCTACTTCTCTCAACTCATACCACTTGTAGCTGACCTTCAGGTGGGTGTCGTCTTAATCTTGTGGTAATTTTATTTTTCAATTTTTTTTGTAAAAAAAAAATGAAAATTAAAACATGCTTATATAAATACTGTAAGTAGTCATACTTAACATATATGTGGCTTATGCTGACATGCAATTTTGGCTGAAAGATTTACATAATGTACTTTGTTAAATAATTATAATTGAGAATTGGTTTTTGTTATGATTAATCTTTTTCAGTTTTGATATTCAAAGATCTAGAATGAGATTTAATTACTTGTCTATTGAGAAGATATTTAAGGCAGTATATTTTCATTTATAAGAGACCTTCAGTCAAGACTCGTGTTCAAGGTTTACATGCTTGGGTGAACGTTTCCTCTCCTTTTAAAGCAGTCTTATCAAAACATTTCTTTATTACAGTATACAAAGGGAGGACCCATCATAGCTGTGCAAATAGAAAACGAATATGGGTCATTTTCCAATGATATCAACTACATGGAGTTTGTTAAGACGGTATCTTGTTTACTTGCTTTATCTTTGTTACGCTTATCTTTATTTAATGTTTGCTCTTTGACAGTTCATTGATGAGAATGGTTATACACAGATCTGTAACCATTTCAAAATTAAGCAGTTTGTAGAGGTTTAATATATATTTATATATTAGTGATATTTATTGTCAATCAAGAGGTATTTTCAGTATTCCATTGATGTCATTTTTTTAAGCGTCTGCTGAAATCAAAAGCACCTGCATACTATGAACTTGTTTGTTTTATTTTGATGCCCTGTCTTGAAATAATTAAATAATTAATTAATAAGTGTTGTTTATTTTAGACTATGGAGAAGTATGGGATTGTAGAGCTGATGTTTACCTCTGACAATGACATGGGGATTGATAAGGGCTCCATGCCTGGAGGTATTGATACATAGTGAACTATTTAATAAAACAACTGTAGAAAGTATAGTTATAATACAGGGTGACCCAAAAATATAATAGTGTTATAATACCTTCTCTGTCTGTAACAAAATGTGGATTGATGCCTGGAGGTACTGTATTGATACAGATTGAACTTTGTGATGAAAACAGCTATAATGAATTAAAAAAAAATCATTGTACAGATACTAACGTACAGTTGCACACCACCAAGAAAAGTTTCTTCAGTTTTGATTGTAGAGATGATACTGTTTCTCTATGAAGACAAAAATATTATTACAATGCAAAGGGGTCCTTAAACTACTTCTTTCCCCTGCTATATTTTTTTTTCATTTTTGCAAATATGAAAATGGAGAGAAAAAAGTCAAAGCAGTTGTACCTCACCTTGACCCTGTTGAATCAAATTGGTGGAAAGTGAAGTGTTGGAGGGGTGGAGGGTCATTGTTGGAGGGTGGAGGGTCATTGTTGGAGGGGGGAGGGTCATTGTTGGAGGGGGAGGGTCATTGTTGGAGGGTGGAGGGTCATTGTTGGAGGGTGTGGGTCATTATCAGTTTCCGCTGAAAGAAGAACATCATCATGGTGCGTTAATATGGACTCCTATTCCGCGGATCTTATCTACTTGATTTTCAATGTATATACATGGCCTTTTTACGCTTTGCGAAACAAATAACTCCTTCCATCCCAGAATAAAGAGCTTCAAGGTCATGGGTTGATACACGTAGCAATCTTTTCCGTATAAAACAGTCAGCACTACCCTCTTTCCGCATTCATATGCAAAACGTGCGCAGTTTGTGCCAATCCAGAAATAATCATCAACATGTGACTCATTATTTTCCTGTAAGGATGTTTTATACAGACAGAAAATTGCTGTTTCACGAGTGTTTCACGAAACGCACTTTTNATTTTTGGGGGGGGGGGGTCATTGTTGGAGGGGGTGGGTCATTGTTTGAGAGGGAGGGTCATTGTTGGAGAGGGAGGGTCATTGTTGGAGAGGGAGGGTCATTGTTGGAGAGGGAGGGTCATTGTTGGAGAGGCAGGGTCATTGTTGGATGGGGTGGGTCATTGTTGGAGGGGGTGGGTCATTGTTGGAGAGGGAGGGTCATTGTTGGAGGGGGTGGGTCATTGTTGGAAAGGGAGGGTCATTGTGGGAGGGAGAGGGTCATTGTTGGAGAGGGAGGGTCATTGTTGGAGGGGGTGGGTCATTGTTGGAAAGGGAGGGTCATTGTGGGAGGGAGAGGGTCATTGTTGGAGAGGGAGGGTCATTGTGGGAGGGGGAGGGAGTAGAAGAAAACACTGTAATGTCTCTGAGTGAAGTACTTGCTTACTTTCAGTGCTGGTGACAGCCAACTTTAATGAGCTCCATGTTGCTGAGGGACTGTTCAATCAGATCAGGAAAACGAACCCTGAGTGGCCGCTGATGGCGATGGAGTTCTGGCCAGGCTGGTTTGACCACTGGGGAGAGGAGCATCATAAGTATAGTGAAGAAAGTAAGAACTTGAAAAGCTTTCAGGCAGACATCTGCCAAGGCAGTTAAATCGACATTATTGATTAAAATTAATTGGTTATTAATTGCCAAAATGTAATTGATTCTAAGTTATCCCATTCCTTACCCATTTTGAGACTTCACTATCAGTCCATTACTTTTTGAGCTAGATTGTTAATTAAGAAACCATCAAAGACAAAAAATAACTTTTTTTGTGGATGTAATTAAACATATTGTAGATTCTTATGAGATGATTACAAGTGGCTTGTTAAATTCAAATATGGTTTGTATAAAGGGTTTCTAACTGTTACATTTTCATTCTTTTTTATGTACAGACACAGATGTGTCTGTACATATTGCCATCACCTGCGTCTGTCGTCGCCGTCGCCGATGCCGATGCCGATGCTGGCGCCGGCGCCGTGCACTTTCAGCGTAAACACGATAAGTGGAACACAGTTTTACTTTTTGGTTTTATATTTACAGAGCTGATGAATATTCATAAAACGCAGGTCAAGTTCGAAAAATCAGCATGATCGGGCCATTATAGTAGAAGATATGCGTTTTTTTTTCACTTTTCAGCATATATGCAACCTTGTAAACACATTTTAAGGAAAACCGTTAGGCCTGTTGTCATGAAACTCACAGGAGTAATCAATCTTACTAAAACGCAGGTCAAGTTCGAAAATCGGCATGATCGGGCCACTATTTTAGTAGTTATGCTGTTTTTTCATTTTTTATAGCTGAACTTTCCTTTCTTTAAAAATCTTTTCTCTGACTGGGAATATCTTAACATGTCATTACAATTAGTTTTCCAACATGTTGAGTAATTATTATTTTCTTCGTTTTTTTTCCAGAAACTGAAACTGTGCTGAGGTATATTCTGAAGAATGATGGCTCAGTGAATTTCTACATGTTTCATGGAGGCACCAACTTTGGCTTCATGAATGGTGCTAACGGGCCGCCATATGCACCGACCATCACAAGCTATGGTGAGAGCATGTTTACAAATGGACTCATTTAGACGGGAAATAGTTGACGTGTAGTTGGGTGTGTAACTTGAACATTTTAGTGCAGAAGGATACAACTGTACCTCAGCCTAAAATTAGGTCTAGTTTTGGTGTGTTCCAATATTCTTTTTTTAGTGTGAAATATAACTTTTTACTTTAATATCATCTCTTGAAGATGCATTAAGTACCAAATTGAAGACAAGGCAGTATGTAAGGGTTGACCACCAGACTGCCAGGTTCAAATATGACACTTTGTATTTCATTTAAAGATACATACAAAGTCATTTTTTTGTCATAAAAACCAACCAAATGCCAGCATATAGTTTCAAGTAGTATAACTAAGAGAATTGCCAAAAGGCATTGTTTAATTTTACCCGAAAGTGTTGTTTGAACAGATTTTTCTGCTAGCATTCTATGCTGTATGTCAATGGGGCAGAAAAGTAGGTCACAAAAGTAGGTTAAATTGACAACCAAAAATTTAAAGAAAGGAGCACTCTAACGCTCTTTTATGGTTGATCGGGTGATTTATTCAGTTTATCCCTTGGCATGTGGAATTTATTAGTGTCATAGAAGAAACTAGTAGAAGTGGTTTACATGTGTTACTGGGAATCCGCCCTCCACCAATGCTCAGTTCGTATGTACCTTTAAAACAACCTCATCAACTGGCGACATCAAAGACTGTTTTCAGTCTAACATATTAGTCTGACTTTGAATATGAACTAAAAATAAGTGGACAGTACAAAAATGAGTTGACTTTTCACACTGGTCACTTGATGTGGAGATAGCCAAATTATGACTATGTTAAGTTTCTGGTTGTGTTTGAACATAACAAGTGTCCTATTAGATACTTAAGAAATTATCATAAAAAGTACAGTCCAATTTTATTTAGTTGTTTGTAACTTTGCAGATTTAATCTGATGATAAACAACAACAATAACAACAACAAAAAACATCCAAATGGAAAATGTTTCAAATGTTTTCTTCCAGACTATGATGCTCCACTAAATGAGCGAGGAGGTTTGACCAACAAATATGCAAAGATCAAAGAAATATTTGAAGAGATGATCCCAAGTGAAAGTGAGAACACCTTGCCTGCCCTCTGTAGTTATTGTGGTTTACTAAAACACAGTGAATTTTAAAAGTTACATTATTTAGTCAGAAAAGCAATTCTCTCAGTGACTCATACATTTTTTACTCTGACAGTAACAACTTTAACAAGTTTAAGTGCACACAATTTACCATTTCATTGAGACTTACTTCATCACTGAGGTTTTCAGATGTTTGTAGAAGTTCAGAATCTGCCATTAAATAAATCCATGTCCTATACTTCCAGTACCCCATCCTCTACCTGAGCTGCCATCTTCTGCTCACTTGGGGACCATGGGATATGGTAACTATGTTAAACTTTTTAAATTTAAATTTAAATCTCTAGATACATCAAATTTATACAGATGTGCATCAGAATTTTTTAATGCTACCTCTGATCATTGTGCATGCAGACACATCTTTTACAATTTTTATACAAATAAGGCTGTTTGTACTGCATGACACATGAGTGAAAAAAAACTTGTGTTCTTAGTCTTATGTGTTTATATGTTTAAGTGTTAATTGGTATAACAATGTCTGTGTGATATTTTCTACAGGCACAGTGAAGATGACCAGGTACATTATGTTGGATTCTATGTTATATTTTATCACTCTCTCTGTGTGATATTTTCTACAGGCACAGTGAAGATGACCAGGTACATTATGTTGGATTCTATGTTATATTTTATCACTCTCTCTGTGTGATATTTTCTACAGGCACAGTGAAGATGACCAGGTACATTATGTTGGATTCTATGTTATATTTTATCACTCTCTCTGTGTGATATTTTCTACAGGCACAGTGAAGATGACCAGGTACATTATGTTGGATTCTATGTTATATTTTATCACTCTCTCTGTGTGATATTTTCTACAGGCACAGTGAAGATGACCAGGTACATTATGTTGGATTCTATGTTATATTTTATCACTCTCTCTGTGTGATATTTTCTACAGGCACAGTGAAGATGACCAGGTACATTATGTTGGATTCTATGTTATATTTTATCACTCTCTCTGTGTGATATTTTCTACAGGCACAGTGAAGATGACCAGGTACATTATGTTGGATTCTATGTTATATTTTATCACTCTCTCTGTGTGATATTTTCTACAGGCACAGTGAAGATGACCAGGTACATTATGTTGGATTCTATGTTATATTTTATCACTCTCTCTGTGTGATATTTTCTACAGGCACAGTGAAGATGACCAGGTACATTATGTTGGATTCTATGTTATATTTTATCACTCTCTCTGTGTGATATTTTCTACAGGCACAGTGAAGATGACCAGGTACATTATGTTGGATTCTATGTTATATTTTATCACTCTCTCTGTGTGATATTTTCTACAGGCACAGTGAAGATGACCAGGTACATTATGTTGGATTCTATGTTATATTTTATCACTCTCTCTGTGTGATATTTTCTACAGGCACAGTGAAGATGACCAGGTACATTATGTTGGATTCTATGTTATATTTTATCACTCTCTCTGTGTGATATTTTCTACAGGCACAGTGAAGATGACCAGGTA